AATGGGAGATGGGACCAAATATACATGCAAGAGTATTTGGAAGGAAAGAAAAAGTGTGGAGAAATTAATCTTGGCTTCAAAGTAGGATTTGAAAGAGTTTGGAGGGCTCAGACTTATCTGAAATTTACATCTGCCTCAGCAGCCCTGACACTTACATTAAGGATGCCTGATAGAACAGAGGGATGGTGTGGTGAAACCATCACGGTGAAGAAAAGAGTGGGAAAAAACTAAACAAAACCAGGCACCAGCAGCAGCTGAGCCTAAAGTGACAAAAAGAGGCAGAAGAAAGAACTTGATACCTATTTAGTAAAAGAACTTGCTCAGACCCTTATGTAACCGGAAGACTGAACTACATGTAGCTGTAATGGAGAACAACTAATATTTAAATATTTGAGAAAGCAATTTAATAATAAAGTGACTTTGGCAATTCTAGAGTAAAGACCTCTTGTCCATTAGCTGACCACAGTTGCTTGTTCTGTAGGCCACAGGCTCCTAAACCCACAAGAATTAATTTTCTTCAAACTACAACTCAAATCATGATCTGCTGCCCATCTATTTCAGTTAAGTCATTTCAAAACTTGCTTAAAAATAATTTAAATTTTATTTATCTTTTTTAAACTTGTACATTAGGTATTCCAGGGAACTTATGCTTTCCAATTTTTTATCATTACTTTCTTGTTATTTGCAATTTACTCTAATACTCTAACTTCATCTGTTGCTATTGATACCAGCAATTATAGAACAGTTAAAATGATTGCTCATGAAATGTTAGCTATTTTTGATGAGAAAACTATCTTGATAATGCAAGAGTTTGAAATTTGTGGTAATTTATTATATTACAGGAAAATGACTATCTGAGGATCCATCAGGTATCATTTCACCAGCAAGAAATCAATGACACAGTTAGAAAAGAAGCCAAAGGAGATGAATGACTTTGCTACAATATTTTCTGCCAGTATTTGGAAAAACATTGAAATAAAATGCTATTTTATTCCATACCTTTTATCTCTTCAACGAAACTCAAAGTGCCATTTGGATAGGCTGAAGTGTACTCCTTGACCCAGACATAAAGCCGATCACTTTCATGACCACTGTTATATAAATAGAATTGTAAGCACTGAAAGCCCCTTTTGGGATACAGAAGTCGGCTCTCCAGGGCAGCTGTCTGTCCTTCTGCTCCAGTGCTGGTGTCGAAATGCATGAAGTAGCCGGAATCTGCCAAAAATCAATGAGAAATGAATGGTAGAGGAGAGACAAAATGAAATTTTCCTGCATACTGGTTTTCTTAGCACTGTATTGTAATAATGCTCAAAGACATGGTCAGGTCAGGGTTAGGTAGACCCTGTTCAAATCCTTGGACTGAGGACTGTTACCTGTTCACATTCTCCAAAGGCAGAACCATTCTCCTTGCAAGTTTTTTCCTCATTTGGCTGTCTCTAGTAGTTTGCACTCAAAAGCATGGGTTTTCACTCTTTACCCAGCACCAGTAAGTCATCATTGACTTTCTGGATGACTGGTTTAAGCTCCCAAACTCATGAAGCTTTCACTGACAGGTTCAGAAACAGTTAGGTATGTTGTCAATTAATTTTTCATCTCAGCCCTGATATTACACATCATTTTGAAATCCTAATCCTTTTCAAGGTCTTATTGAGCTTTTATTCAGTAAAGCAGCAGTCTTGTACCATAGGTTAGAACACTTTATATGTTCTTGTGTCAGGATGTGACACCAGGACAAGAAAACAAATTAGAAGAGATAAGGATGTTCAATCTTCTCAAATCAGCAGAAAATCGAATGTATCACATGATGTCCCTAAGTATGTAGATAGATTTATGTTGCTTAGTTAAAAAATAAACTGTAGTTTGTCAAAAAAGTAAACAGATAACAAGGTTGAGCTCAAAGTCAACTTGCATGCCCCTGTAGAAGATACTTCCCAAAAAGATAAGAAGTTTTTTTCTCATACCTTTGCATTCTCCCATATTAGTGTGATCTGTATTTGGCCCAGCAGGAACCTGAGACAAACGCTGCCAGTCACTGCTATCATTTGAACTTTGAATCATGCCACATATATTTTCAAGTTCAAAACTGCACGTGTCCATGAAACTTAGGGAGGAGGCTATGACAGATAAAAGGAAAAAAAAAGAAGCATCTGTGAATCTGTATTGCACAACATACATTTTCATTCTGAATGTCCAAAGCCAAGAGCAGAGAAAGACTAAATGCAAACACCAAGTAATCAGTGGCTTCAAATACTAACAACTTTTATACATATAATGTTCAGGAACTCAAAGCATTTGGCAATTAATACTGACATTAATAAGGCATCATCAGGATCACTCTGGGCACTTAGCAAGCACAGGAGGGTATCAGCTAATTGCCATATCACTTTGATAAATAAAAGGAACACTCATAAGAGTCCCAACCCACCAACCTTCACACAGTCAAAAGGTCCTGAGTCTTCCCATACATTCCTCTGCTTTCTTTGGGCCTGCTCACACATGGCCCCAGATTTTGATAAAAGCTCACTCATATGTCAACTGGAGTGCTTATTTTGAAATAACAGAAGAGGAAAAGTTATTTCACTGCAAGAAGCAAACCTTGAGTTTTGAAACGCTAAATTATAAAAAACAAATTGGCAAAGGTACCTTTGTGGCCTGTGTACATCTCATGTCATACAAATATTTTGATGTCTTGCATATAACAAGTGAAAAATTAAATGAAGGAAGACTGTGCAGTTGAATAAGAAAAGGAGAACACCATATGAAATGCTTCTTCTGTCTAAAGCAAATTGCAGATGGGTGAGGAAAGGCAAAGTCCAGGTTTATCCCTGCTCTTAGTTTTGTTTCCCATTGTGCCATGTCAGTTCTGTGTAACATCAAGCAGGATTTGAAAACAACTGAGTTAATAAAATCCTTTTTAAACTATGTATAAAATATTGTGGCTTAATGGTTTAAAGGTTTTGCTGCGCCACAAAAAGACCTTGAGTATCATGAAACTCAGCCTCAGTAGCATGCCAAATGCTCCACTTAAGCTGTAGCTCAGGGAAGCACTTGAGTATGAGCTGCTGCCAAATCAGTGCTACTGCTGGGATATTTTCTGCTGTCCTCATAAAAAGCTAACTACCCTCTAGAGGCTGAAAGGTTATTACAAGTGTGATATGATTTTTTTTTAAGGTACAGTATTGGTATGATGTTATAAAAACCAAGAAAAGGTATTCACAGCAAATGTTATATTGACTGCTGGAAAAAGAAGGTCAGCAAAAATGGAGAATTATTAGATGAAAGAACTCTTTAAAATCAAAATACAAAACAAAATGTGAAATTGATCTGCCCAAATGGGAAGGAAGTAGTCTAATGACCTTAATTAGAAAGTGCCAGCTGGCATGGACTGGTCACCTGAGCAACAGGAAGAGAGAAAAGCAAGACCAAACAGCTCTTGATGTACTTCTTAGGTTCATTCCTAAAACAGAGGAAGAGGGCAATGCTTGAGGCAGGTTTTGAATTCTATCTGCACCAAAAGCCACATACTTTCTTGGTATGTAGTGAAAGACAAGACTTAGAAGAAAATACATGAGGGATAATTGCCAAGTCCTAAAATCCAGTAGCTGAGGAAAACTGCATGGTCGGTTCTGTTAATATCTTAGGAAGGGAAGTAACATGCTAGAAGGGGAAATCTACTGTTGTGATATGACCTGAAAGACAGTACTGAAGTAGAGATTGGAGCAGCACTCTACTATCAGTCAGAATTTCTTGTGTTGTGGGTTGTTTTCTTCAATTTTAGAACCAAGTTTCCCATTATAATGCAATTTCCTGACCCCTCGGGCTTTTAGCAGAAATTCAGCTGAAAGTTTTCCTTAAATCATGTTCAGCAACTGAGGCAATCTTTTGATTGCTCTGGCAGGATATCTGCCACCCAAAATGTGTTTGGCATTGTCAGTCTTCCCTCTAACCTGAAAGGATCACTCCAGCAGCTGCATGGGTGAGGGCTGGGACCTGTGAACTCTAACCTGAAAGGATCACTCCAGCAGCTGTGTGGGTGAGGTCTGGGACACCCATTCTCCCTGGCACAGGGACCACTTAGGCAACTGGTGGGTGATCTGACAACCACTTAGGGCTCTGTGAATATCATGCACGCTATCTGAGGGCAAGGGACAGACTGCAGAGCAGGGCACATCCTGATTGCACTGAAGGGGATGGCAGTTTTGTCACTGATTTCGACATGACTGGGGCTTATTTCACTTGGGGAATGCACGTATGGGTTAAGAATAAAGTTAAAATGTCATGAAGTATTTATGGAGTGTACAAGAATGATGGAAAATATGTAAGACTAATGGAGAGGAAGGAGGACCTCATTGGAAAAAATGTAAGATTAATGGAGAGGAAGGAGGACCCCATGCACTGTTAAAGACATCCTTAGCTGTAAACACTTTTATAACACCTATTTGACTGTGAGCCAAGTGCTAGAAGCTAAGGCTGCAATGTGTGTGTTCAGTTCAGACCTACATGAGCAGAACAATGTTCATCAGAACCGTATGCTAAAAAAAAATGCACCATTTTAATAGAACAGTTTGGTAATTGTTTAAAGTATCAGTATAATGAGGTTGTAAGTGTACTCATGACTTGGGATACTGAGGTAGCGAAGCAAAAGTTTTCATCTGAGTGCAAGGGCACGTTTGATGCAGTCACAATTACAGAATTCCAGTTTGGTAATAGAATTATCTGTGTGTCTCTGTCTCTTACTTTCATTCAACTCTCTTAAATAAATCCAACATGAGCAAAACAACTCTTTTGACAACTTTTGTAAGAGACTGGGTGCGAAACTAAACATAATTTATAAAGCCTGCATTTTTTTCATAACAGTATCTGCAGTCTCTTTGCGTGAACACACACTCTGTCTCATGGATTCCATGAAAGTGGAGTAGGTACAATGGCAACAGCAAAGATACTCATTTCTGCACAGTGTCTGAGCAACAGCTGTGGAATAATACAGGGAAAAATCCAAAAGGCTTTGTGCAGAAGCAGACATTTTAAACAGCCACCCAAGGGATGAACAAAAATCAGCTGCTGAGCAAAGCTGTGTTTTAACTAAAGGTCAGATAAAACTGGACAGAAGACTCTGCTGCTCAGGAGTGTTTCTGCAGGAGGGCTGTTATTTCTAGCTGTACCCTTATTTCTGGCATTTTTAACACCATTCACTTCTCCAAATATGTTAGTATCTCTTCACTTGTGTCCGGATGAGTCCAGCATGTATCTATCACCCTCGATTCTTTCAAATGGCAAAAGCATAAAATATAAAATAGATGGAGAAACTTACAGCAGTTGTACAGCTGGTTCAGTTTCTGGAGATCATAATCACTGAAATCCATTCGCTGTCCTATCACATCCATGAAGTCTGGTATGTTAGTGACGATGGTGGGCTCAGTGCCATTCCTGAATGCAGTTTTGCTGTAGTGCATCACAGAATTATAGTCATAGGGAACATTCAGGAAGTCTGATGTTTTATCATCATATTTATTGAAGTTATGTTCTTTACCTAAATGGTAAAAGTAAAAGGAAAGATTGTTTGTTGCTCAAGAGAATCAAGTTTTGATGTAAAGACTTACAGTGACAGAGAGTCCATCAGATCCCCAAGTATTTTTTTGTAGTCATTTACTTGTACTTACTCTGTAAAATAGTTTTATTTCCAGTCTAGGGTTATTTACTTTCCTCTTTCAGCCTCTGGAACATAACATGATTACTTCTGCTGGATGAAGCAAAGTTTTTGCTACCAGAAAACTTTTTCCTGTGAAACTACTTATAAATTTTGATGGACTTGTGGTACCCAAAAGTGGAGATAGAGTTTCAGGACTCAAATTGCAGCAATTTACAACTGCAAGGCCTCCCTGTTTCTGATCTGTATTCTCTGTTGTTTAATTGCTAGTCATTTTAGGTCACAATAAACAAGTTAGAGTTGTCATCAGATAAGCTTCTAGAATTTAACTTTACAGATGTTTTCTGGAGTATGAGCAAAAAAACCCACTGCTAACTACCCAATGGAGGGTGAAGATTTAAATTAGTCAAAATACTGTAACTATATTCTGGTCAGTGTGAAAAAGCTGCAGCAGTTTCAACTGGCTAACAATAGTGCAGCTTCTCTCTAAAGAGTAAGCAAAATATAATGGAAATCAAATAACAGTGTCTAAGTCATTTTCTGTAATATATACTTGCATATGCTCCTGACTATTGATCACAACTATATAAGAATGCATTAGATTTAATCATCATCTAATTTTTTTCAGTCTTCTGCATGTACCTGTGTTAGGAAAGCATTAAGTCTGTGTATCTAACTCTGTTTTTGAACTGCCTGAAAGTCACAGAGCATGACAACAAGCTAAAGAGGAAGAGTCCTGAGGAACCCTGTGCCAACTCTCACACTTGTGCCAAATATGCCAACACATTCGCAAGTTGTACTGCTAAAGTAATCGCTGGTGCGATGCAGACCCTGAAAGAGATCTCTCCTTCCTGCCCACCCTCTCTGCACGCTGTGCTGTCTCAGCTCTGCTGCCCCCACCAGGTGTAGCAGCTGGTCTGAAAGAGAACGACCTGTTTTTCCCTGATTTTCTAGTCTTTGGTCACACTGGGTTTTTTGAGTGGGATGGCAGCTGGTCTGAAAGAGAACGACCTGTGTTTTCCCTGATTTTCTAGCCTTTGGTCACACTGGGTTTTTCGAGTGGGATAGTTTTTTTAAATTACTTTTGTTTTGTTAAGGGCTGCCAGAGTAACAGTGTTTTGAGAGTATTAATTTAAACAAACTAAATTATTCTCTTCTGCTGCTCTGCTGTGCAACATGTAGCATAACAAGACTCAGATCTCCCGTTAGGGCTTTGGGAACTGCCGTGGCACAAGGAATAACCACAGCAAGAACAAATGAGGATTTCTGTCCCGAATAGATGTCCCTTGATATTTCATGTATTGATATACTGGCTTTGAAAAGTAAGTCCAGGTAAGAAAATTGTGTGAGCACCAAAGGCTGGTTGCATGGGATATTACACAACTAAATCCCCAAACACCAGAGCCTGAAAGGAAAAGCAGAGAAGTGACTGACCAGACTGAATCCGGTCCCAGACGATGGTCACATAGTCATCGCGGTCAGACCTTGACTGCTCATGCCAGAATCCCAGGGCATGCAGAAACTCATGCTGGATTGTTCCAATCCTGTCACAGTTGGGTCCAATGGAGAGCTGCTGCAACCCCATGTTTTGGTTTCCCACTGAGGACCAGCAGCTAGCATTAAAATAAAATGAGAGGGCTCTGTAAGATATGGACCACCCCCATACCATGAGAACTCCAGAGCCAGTCTGTTCAACAGGTATATTTTTAACTTGAGTATTGAAGTCACGTTTTGCTACACAGAGCACTTTTCCATTGATCTGTTCCTTACCATATCCTTTCCTCTCTGTTTTGATGAACAGGCAGTTCCCCAGACTTGGCTCTGCTGTTTTTAATGCGTTTTATTTAGCAGAAAACTGTTGAACTATTTGTAACAGAGGAAAACTGATGAGGATTCTGTTGGTACTCTGAAACATCAAAGGCTATGGGCACAAGATTTAGAGCAGTTCAGTTACTGCATATTAACAATTTTCAGCTAGACCACAGTATGCACCTGTAAGTGCCCTTTTTGCCTCTCTCTATCAGAAGGGGAACCAGGTTCATGTATATTCTTGCTCTGCCACTGCAGCTGCTTCTCCCTACTGTTTTGGCCTTTTGCTTTGTGCAGGGCTGTGGCTGCCAGGCAGGGTGCACTTCTGTGAGTCCATGTTTCCCTTCTGACAGGTTGCTGGATTTGACAGTGCTTTTCAGAAGCTCTTTCCTTTCTAGCTCTAGCTGCTGTGCTAGAGCACTTGCTGTTTACACACTCATAAGGAAAAGCAAAACCACAGCTGTGCTGGAAGTTTCTATTAAAGGATAAAAAAATTCATTGAGTTATCTGCACACGCCAATAAAATGGCACCCCATGCCAGCACAGAGAGCTACATTTAAATTGATATTTTATGCAGCAAATAAATCAATACTTACCCAATGAAGTACATAAAATTAATCGGGCACAAAATATGCCATAGGATTTGCAGTCCCATCACCCCACAAATATAAAAATACAAGCACACCATGCACTTTCAGTCCTTGTAACTTATTAGTGCAACATATTCCCCAGTATTCCTTTTTCCACAGAGTAACACAGGCCTTGGCTATTGATTACTCTTTAAAATCACAACAGGAGACCTGGGAAGGAGCACATGTAGCATCCATAAGGATTTCCCTTGAACAAGCCCTCATATTGATTATGCAGCTTTCTCTTGCTTTGTGCAGAAGTCTAAGTCCCTCACAGGTCTGGTTCACCTCATATCAATGCTACCTCTGGCTTCACAGCTGCTGCACAGTGCACAGCAGGCTACAGGCACACCCAGGACACTCGGCAAATCTATCGTCCATACAACAGGGCATGCAGCTTCCCCTTGCCTTCAGACTGCCAAATGCCTACAGCACCATCGTTCAAGAGCTGCAGGAGTAATCACATGGTCTCTGCATCACCCTGCGCTGAGAATAAAGCTTTGGTGAGTGGGGCAGGGCACTCCAGAGGAATGGGCACCTGGAACCCTATATTAGCAGTGTCTTCAGGAGGAGAGAAAGTCTGTCAGAGTCCCAACTTCCCCAGGTATGTGAGAGCTGTATTGCCTCTGACTTAATGATTTCTACATTGCTATGAGAGACTAGAGGAACAGGGAAGTACCTTCTCTATCTAATCCCACTATCCCTCTTTTTGGAAGTTGGGCTGTAAGGAGATACATGCTATCAGTAGAGATGATGCCACTTGTTTCAGGCACATTTTCCTATTAATGTCCTGCTACTAATTTTCTTTCCATAGTATCATGGATCATCAGCATCAGCTCACAGACACTTTGACTTTCTAGCACTAAGCTGGTTAGGTGGGAATCTGTATCAATCCACTTCTGCATGGATTCCCTTTGCCATGTGCCACAGTGGAAAAAGCTCAAGTGGCCTTCCAGGGGTGTTACATGAAAACCTGATTATCCATGTGAAAATACTAGGGATGACATTGATCTTCCCTGGTCTGCTAACCATTTGACTTTTTTTTTTGAATGAATCCTGCTCTTCATGAGAAGTTAAGGAGAGATGGCACATCCATTGCAAATTTCCAGACGGTTCTGTGAACTTTGCAGGCATTTGCCACATGTGATGCTCCTGCATTTCTGTAATTCACAAGCATCCCTCATGTATTTTGCTCAGCACATAGGCTGGAATCAAGAAAAGGTCTTCAACAAGATTTTCAGTCTATCCCCTGCTGCAGATGCATAGACCTGGGTAGAGGGTGAGGTTAAGGGCTGTGTGCTAGAAAAGCTTACACATACCTCTGCTCACTTAGTGTTGTAACTATATACGTGTTAACATAGTACAGGTCGTAGCCAAGGCATGGTGAATGGTAGATGAAGAATGTGTACAGGGAGAGGGCTCTCTGCACAGGGTGTTGATACACTGTGTACATACATCAGAGACTACAGACCTAGTTTTACACAGGGAGGTCAACACAACAAAATGGCAGCTGGCTTCTTTTGTGGCTGACTTCATTTGAATTCAAAAGGGTAATCCAGACTTTACGGCCTACTACAAATCCTTTTGACACAAAGTTCTCCCACTTTCCTCTGGTTTATAGACTCAAGCCAAGATCGGAAAGGCAAAGATCATTTATCAACCTTTTCTTGGTGTGGTAAAACTTCATGTTGGCAGGAACTTTGTGTGCCTGTCTGCATTGTACCCTCTGGACTGAGGTCTTTAGTGAGCAGTTAGAAGGGTCCTAGATGATTAAAAAACCCATTAGGAACAGCAGAGAGGAAATGGGTTGGTATACCCATCTTACAACTTGTTCCATTATATCAGAAGGGAGGAATGGAGTGAAATGAAAGGCAGTTAGTTCATGCAGGGTCAGCCCTGATTTCTTAATACACTTTATACACTGCAACTGGATGGCCATTTTCAGGACACTGCAACATTTAGCTCCAATCTCTTAATAAGTGCTGCTGCAGATGTGTCAGCTGAGGTGATAGAAACATTTCAGGGCAAGAAACACACCAGGCAGTGAGGGCAAGATATGTTATCCAACTAGAATGACTTGTCTTCTTCATCACCATGACTCATCTATTTTTAATAGACATATAAATGAAGCATTGCACAGAGGCCTCCCACTTGCCATAGGCTCAATATTGTTGGTTCTTTTTCAGGTACAATTATTAGCAAATTCAATGCATACTTTATGGGATGAAGGACTAAAAAATTCAACTACATGAGTTTTCCATTTAGCTCAAAAATCCAGAGTCATTAGAACAGGAAAATGCCTTGCTCCCTGAGTTTCTACTTATACATCTCTTAGAGCTCAGTTTCAGTGTTATGTGTACAGCATGAATAGTAGAAAATATAAAGAGCCAGAGACCAAAGAAATTTTGAAGCAATTATCTGCTACAAATATCTCAGAACAAGCCAAAGGGAAAGGGAAACATTTTTATTATCAGAAAATCTTTTCCCATTTATGAATGCATTCTCACATCAGGAAATTATTTTCTGAAAGTAAATTTCCTCACCAGGCTATGAAGCTCTCCCTGTTCTGCTTTTCTAAAAGAGAAATGGTTCAGCATAGAGTGGAGAATAAATTTGTTGTTGTTGCAGTATTTTGGCAGCCACTGTTCTAGGGAAGAAGGTGGGGCAATTTTGTTTTCTTTACTGGAAAAATTAAGGTGATAACTATTCATCAAAAGAGGTAAATAAAGTGAAATATCAGTAAAATATCTCAGTGCAGTACAGCATTTAAAAATGTTGCTCTTTTATCTGAATGCTGATGTGACATTGTAAAAATGCACTTCCATTTTTAAATTCAAACAAATTCATTGCCCCACAGTTCGAACTATCATATATATTTATGCTGTTTGGTTGGGTTTTTTTCCTGAAAATTAAGGTATACTAAGAATGACCATTTGAAAGTGATACTCCATATATCCAAAGATCAGACAAGAACATAATTGGCTTGTTTCTGCTATCTTTTACCATGTCCAGGAAATTAGCTCTTAAAAGACTTGATTTCCTCTTGTATTTAAAATAAGTATCAGTGAGAAATTGTTTGTCACTATCAAGGTAATACCTGTTTTGGAAGCTACTACAATTTCCAGTTTAAAAAAGACTGAGAAAATGGAGACAAAAAAATGCAAAATGATAATCAGATATATGAGTTTTAGAGTAAATACTGGCCATGAAAATAGTCTGAAAGCAAACAGAATTAAAGTTATTTTGAATTGCTCCTCTTACCCATCTCCCTTGAACACAGATATGTAATTCTTCTCCCCATTCCAAGGTTTGAAGTCAATACAGGTTTTCAGTCGATACTGTTCAAAGGCCTTGAGGATGACTCCCTTAGCATTAATTTCTGCAAAGCAAACAGTGTTCCTGTCAATACTGAGCCAATAGATTTGTACTATTATCTATATGGAGCAAGTCCTAAGGGTGGGTCTTGCTCCAGCAGTCTTTGAGCAAAATAAAAAGGCTTTTTCTTGGATTAAGACCTGAGTAGGGACCTAGAAAATATAAATTAGGCTGTTGTGACACTGTATCTTACTCTTGTTTTGCACTCATGTGATTTTTCTTTGGTATTTATGTACAAAATATGACATGATGAGTATATAAAATATGATAGTGTGTGGGTCTTAATTTTGTAAATTCTTTCATTTACTGTTTGGGATTGATGTAAGCAAGTATTAAAAAAGGAAATGAAGACATCAGATTTTTCCTAGTTCAGAATGCAGGCTACAGATCTTTCACAGAATTTCTCCAGGTCTTGAATTGCTCACATTATATCTGAGTTTTCTCCTCTAAGTAACTTGTATAATTTCAACGCAATTTAGATCTGAATTTAAACTGGGAGTGGGTGATGTTTTTTTCCTGTGATGTAGCAGAAAGGTGAACCCCATGTTGTGTAATCTCCCCACGTGGTATCAGTAAGAACTCCAGCTCCCTATCTCACCACTCACCTCTGCCATACAAAGACACAGCCAGGTGGATTGAAAGGCATGGAGTCAAATTAGGTCCACATTAGGGGACTCAACAATGTGCCATTGCAAACTGTCTGTCAGAATGGCATTTTGCTGTCAGTGCTTTAGAGGATGTAAATGGCCTGGTAAGCTTCCTGGCTTCAAAAATATCTTCAAGTGCCCTCTTTTTATTTCTGCTTAGTAGAGTTTCATGTCACAGACACAAGCTTTCAAAACAAAATCAATCTGCTGGGCCATAGCAATGGCAGGATAAGAGTAATTCAAGAAAGGAGGTGAGAGCCAGCACCAATACCAAGATTATATACCCTGTTTGTGCACACCCAATCCCTTCAGAGCTGTAGGAAATGGCCTGCTCTAGACTTAAAATAGGAAAGAATACCACAGGTATCAATCTGTGTTTAACATTTCAATCAACACACTGCACAGACATTGCCAAGGGCAAATACTTTACCCAGGGTGTCCTCAAGGACATAGGGGATAACATGGGGCCACCGATATTTGTCACCAATGATGGAGTTTCGTTCCTGCATCAGAGAAAGAAAATACGTATGCAAACCTCAGTAGAAATTGATTTAGCATCAGGGACTTGGAGTGCTAAAGCAAACCTACAAGTTCAAGTAAGACATAAAGGAAAACAACAAGCTCAAAAACCTTGAAGGATTACTCAGTGTTCTAAGGTTTGGGTTTGAAATCCCTTCACTCCCTTCTACCGGTGTCTCCAATTTCTGCAGTATTTTTTCCATAGAAATTACTTGAACTTTTGATGCACGTGCAGAGGAGCTTTAGCCCCTATTGGAAGCATTAAGATCTAAAGTCCTGATAACTGTACAGAGATTAATAATTTTTAAATTTTTCAGAATGCAAGGGTGTGCTCCTGTGCCAATAACGAGAGCTGTCCTTGCTTCCATTGATGTGCTCAGGCCAAAACATCTCCCAAAAGGGAGAGTAAAATACTTGACTTTCACAGTACAAGACACTTTTGGGATTTTCTACTGGGAATTTTTGAGATGTAAATACAATTATTTTTTCTTTTCATTGGTCAGAAAATAATGCTGGACAGATGTTTAAAATGTGGTATTACAGATCTAACTTTTCCATTGGTTTTAGTGAATCTACTTATGTGATGAAGGTTTTGCAGCACTTCTCAGTAAATTTAATTTTCTCAGAATAAATATTGTACAGATAAATGAAGGATTTTTTTTATATGAACCTGTCTGGATGATGATCAGTGCTGCTGAATCTCTTAAAAGCTCAAATATATAAAAACATAGTAAAGGAAACAAGAAGCTAATAATATTGATCTAATGGCTGAACAGATTTCATTCTGGATAATGTTTCTGCAAATGCTCCTGACTCCTTCATTGTCTATGGCATTTTGTAGAATTCCATCCCCAGACATCTTTAGTTTATTGTTACATAAACAGCATTTATTGTTAGTAGGAACAGGATGCATCTATCATTTTCAAGCCAGCAATACTTTATATTGTGTGACTCAATGACACATTTCTGGTTTTATTTTTATATTTGAACTCACCCCATGAAGTTTGATGTCTCCCTCGAAAAGGTCTAGTCCTAAAGCTAAAAGGAAGGGGAGATTAACATTCGGTTATTGTATTGATCTGTAACTACTCTAATGAAAATTGCAAAAAAAATTAAAAGAGAAATTTAATTTCAAAAAACCTTCATTGATGTCAAAGATGTCTTGGTCAATTCCTCCATCTACATCTATTTCTGAAAAATAAAAAAAAACAAGTGAGGTAGGACATTAGCCCTTGCTGTTATCTTTATGAAGTGTGAAAATTAATGCAATAACAATAACAGTAATTATAAATCTGTGCCGGTCCTAGTGATGTTTAGGAGCAGCTGGTTTTGTTGACTGCCTCCCTTGCATACAAATAGATCTCTAAACAAAACTCACCAGTTGTCTCTGATGCAGGAGCTGGCTGGGGAGGGGGAAGAAAAAAAGATATTATTAGAAAGGCACATAATGAAATGCAGCTCTCATTACTCTCTCAACAGTATCAGAGATGTGATTTAAGCTCAACTGACAGCACTTAGCACATGGCTTTGTATTGGATTGACCGGATTGCCTCCTCATTTGACTGGAAATCTTTATTTGCTCATGTGTCAGCTTTGTGCCCTCCCCATCTCAGGCTGCCCAACAACTAAGAACACCCAGTACTGCTTCTGTGAAGTCTTCACAATTCTTTTTGTCACACAACTCAGGTAGTGCTGAATGGTGCTTCACAAATGGGGGAAAAAAGAGCCTATTATTTGTATGAAATCAAGCAGTGCTACTAGTCAGCAACTGTGCAGGACCTATAGGAGTTTTGCTTAACTTTCCATGATAAAGCTGAAGAAGAGGGAATAGAATGAGTGGTCTGGCATCACACAGCAAGGCTTTGAAGGACTGGGTACACAGAGCAGGTCACTTCAGCCCCAGTTCAGTGCCTTATCTCGACTCCATTTACCTAAGCAATAACATTTCAAAAACTCTTTCTGCAAATGCAAAACCCACAAACCATAATGAAATATAATGGCATATAATGAGATATACATAGCACACTTTTCCTTGCCATAACATGCCTACAGAATATAATCTTTATTCTTTTATTGGACTGGACACTTCATTTTGAACTTGGCTTGGACATACTTGGCAAAACACTGCACAACTATTTCTCACACAGTGAGTAAAATCATGAACAGCCTTTCTAGGCAATCACTCTTGGGTGTCTTGTATTTGTGTGTTTGAAAAGAAGTTCACAAATTGAAGGTAAAAAACATCTTTATATTCTAAGCTCTTACAAAATAGGTTACAGATACAGCAAGTGGTAAGATATAACGGCAATTCTGCAAACCAGGGTAGTATTATTACTTTTATTTTTACTATGGTTTCTCCCCCGAGTGTTTTTCTTTCTCCATATAAATAATTTATCTTTCATACATGCAGTTTTGCATGCTAGACTTCTTTTTCCAGTGTGATAAGCACCTGCAACTGCCATTAGAAGCAATGAACAATACAAGATGAGACTGCTGAAAAACAGCAAAAATCAAGTCCATGCAGTCCCCAAGAATATTAATTGTGGCAATTTCTACCGTCTGTATGATGTATAAGATAACAATATGTACAGAATATTCAAGAGAGATTCAAACACACATATTCTTCTAGGCCCGGCTTTCAACATGTAATGATAGGAACAATTTTGAGGGAAAAAATTGTGGGCTGTAAAACTGATCACACTCATATAAAATTTTAACCAAATACAGGAAAAGAAACCCCTACTTTCCATGAAATTTCAAGGTTCAGAAAGAATGATTTGAAATTGTCAGGATGCATTATTTTAGATTTGCAATGAAAGATGAATTTTTAATCTGAAATAACTGTCTTTTAAAACCTTCAGCAAATGGCAGAAAAAAACACTGTAAATACAAAGACCTGAAATCTCATTTTATGATTTTGATTCACCTGAACTAAAATTGACTCAAACTGTTACCTCACAGTTTTTGTCAGATTTTGAAAATTTATTCTATTTAATGCTATTTTTAAATGTACACACACACATTTCTGAGCATTTTTGATGTTACTCTCTAACTTTGCAGATGGACAGCATGGTTTATGTGAATTAAAACACAGAAAGGGTGGTCAAACCATGGCTTGTGAGCACATTTAGCTGGCAAATAATTCAAGTGCATCTTGGACACATGGGAAACATCTCACCTGTTGTAGTCGTGTTAAAACTAGGTAAGTAGACTCACTCAGTAATCAGTGGAGAAACAAATGGGTAATTCTTCTGTCCCTAAAATATCTATGGCACCACCATGATGCCCTGGCATCTCCATAAGATGATCCACCTTACCTAGCTTTGACATCTATTCAAGGATGTGATAAATTATCCAGTGAAAATTTCCCTGTCTCACCATAAATTTCGGACAGAGTATACTCAACCAGTTTGGATGAGTCACCCTAACTTATCAGTGTTTTCTCCAGATTATATAACTTTAGTACTGGCATCCAGAAACATGAAATAAGCTCTTCCTGGCCATAGGACATGTGGAAATGAAATAATTAGCCCTGGTGATCTGAGGCCCCTCTCTCGCACAAGACCTGGCTTTTAGGAATCAGTTTGCTGTGAGGTAACTTGTAGATGTTAGTAGCAGCCTGCATCACCTACTACAGGCTTTAACAAAGCCTGCAGTGGAATCTAAACAAGGCTGAGATTTCAGTTTCCAAAAGGTTAAGGCAGAGGAACAGGTTGTGGAAATAGAAGTGTGGGGTTGGGGTAGTAGGAGATAGAGGAGGACTATAGGAAAGTTAGGAACATGAGGTTGAGCTCTTGACTTAGGGAGATGTATGAGCATGTATTAGTAGAGAGGAAGATGAGGATGCCACAGTGAGATACAGGAGCTGGATTCACAGAATCAGACAGTTCAGTTGCATAAATTAGATATTGTTATGGCATTTAGGTAATGTCACAAAAAATAATACCTTACTGTGTAGAATACACTGAAGATATGAATGGCTGAAACAAACTTTCAACAATCTATTGGATTTTGGTCTCCAAACTAATTATACTGTGCACCACCAAAAATTCTTGACCTTTACAAAAAAAGTATCCCAAGATGAGCAAAATGCTATGTTTCACTAAAAAAGACAGGAAATACAAAATCTCAACTGTTACTTTTTGACACTAAGTCATTCAGCTGGATTGGAGGAACAGAGAGGAGTAATTTCCAAGTATATCCAGTGGCTAAAAAGACATAAATTTTAATATCAAATATATTGTGCTATTATAGCAAAAAAAATATATTCCATTCAAATATGGAGTAGTGAAATAAATTTCAACACTTTTCTTGATTCTAACAAACTAATTTGCTATTCTGGTAATGGCACTTTGAATACTAGTGGACATTTTGCTTAGATGGGAAACACAAGATAAGCTCTTTCCATGTATAGCCCCATCCATGAAAAATAGCAACGCTAAGATCCCAAGCAAACGGAAATCTTCTCTTTTTCCCACGCAGATGACAATCGAATTCTTATTTTGCAAAATCAACATACTTGTCTTTTCTTCTCAAACTCCTCTTAAGCTGCATTGCCTAGTCAATCATATAGAGCATACATATCTTTTGTTTTCTTACCAGACTCCAGACCACCTGAAGAAGAAGCCAACTTAGAAACACAGGCACAGAAAACGAGCCCATGTTGTTCTCCAGTCAGATGTTGCATGAATAGAATTTTAGACCAACTTCGTACTTAAGACAGTAAATATCATAAATCAAAACCTTTGTCCTCCCAACAATTATTAACTTCTGGTTAAGCAAGCAAAGTCCATGTGATGGTTGTTACTATCTTGCAATAATGAACATATATTTTAATTAATTTTTAAGCATTGCTGTGAGAGAAAGTATTGGGTACAAATTGAAATGCAGGATGAAATGGAAATACAGGGAAAATGGACACACTGAAATATAAGAAATTCCATTTTGATTTAAGATTATTTTTTATTTATTTTATTTTATGTTTTATTACAAGGGTTTTTAATCACTGGAACAAGTTGCTCAGAGACGTTGTGCAGTCACCATCCTTAGAGACAGTCAAAATCCAACCAAACAGAGGTGAGTGACCTGCTACAAGTGACCCTGCAGGAGTGCTGCAGGAGTATTGGTCTAGACAATCTCCAGAGCTGCTTTCCCACTTCAGTTATCCTGTGATTCAGTGAATAAAGCTGGCACTAAAACCTCTTGAACAACAGAAAGCTAGCGAGACTCTTGGCAAACAAGGCATTAATATATTAATAATTATGTATTTTTTGACAGAAAGTGAAAATGAGGAATGTGTGTACATAAAAAAAATAAATCTGTCAGCAACATAATTTCAGCTTCCTGTGTTTGGAAAATGCACTGCTGTTGCTGTTGCTGATATATGTGAGACAATGTATTTGTCAGTCGCTCAAGTAATGGTATCATCCTAGATTATTTAAAGATTCCATATGAATTAATTTTTAAAAATGTCAGTACCATTTTACTGTCAGCACTGCCTGTGAATCTTGGGTGTTTCTTCCAACTCTGGTCAGCTCTTCTACTTCTTAGTTGTCAGCGAGTGTTGAAATTGCCACAGTTTTCTTCTTATGGTTAAACTGCAGGTACCAGTGGTCATTGTATGATCAGGCTTAGCTAACCTTTTACTTTCCCACACCAACTACTTGGTTAGACCACCATAAAAACTAAAAATGTTTAGATTTTGTATTGTAAATACAGACTCACAAATTATTATATCAAAAATATTTCACATGCTATTTTAAGTATCAGAGCTGATAAGAAAGATCCTAAGTAATGAGGACACCTAAGCCATTTCTATCCACTCAGATGCACTTATTTCATTGCTGATGCATTGAGATGTAGCAGTTGTAGATATTGTTGTTCTTTTGATGTATAGGGTTAGTTTTGTCTCTACAAAAATAACTAAATATTGTAATCCTCTATTCATCAATATCAATGGTGTAAACTGTTCTCAAATAAGTGATGTTAGGAAGGTTGAAAAGCTCTTTTGTCAAGATTTCTTCTGCAAGTTCAGCAGTCCTTGAATTCTGTACAGTGTCAGTAGTTTTTCTTTTGAAGGCTCTCTAGGTTAGATTGGCTGTGTCCACAGTACCAAGTACTTTAAACCAACTGGAACAGATCTGTGCACTGAAAAATCTGATGATAAGAACCTGGCATCTATGTTGTGCACATTTGAAAGGTCTTTAGTCTGGCTCTGATTTGATCCCAAAGACTGGATGTCAGTAGTGACAGTTGGACTGCAATAGGCAGGGAGCTTCAGAACATATCCTGGCTTACTTTCAGAACAATGGAATTCAATTTGGACACTCCAAAACAACTCTGTGATGTAAATTGAAGCATGGTAAGTTGGAATGGTGATGATGATGACACTTGCTTAAAAAAATACTCTTCTGATCAAAACTAAAAGACTAAGTGCAGCTCCATCCATTATTCTTCAGTCATAGTACAAGTGTTTTCCTGAGATGGTGGAATATTATGAACTCAAAAGAAACAGCACAATTTTGGTCTTACTACTTGGTGTTAGAAGAAAGCCTAAACCCATGCTTTTCTATTTCTTTGGTTCCCTTTACATGCATATAATCAAGATAATTGCTCTCTGTTCATCCATCCCCACTTCTCTCACATCAATCCCTTATCAATAAGAGACAGAACTGTATGAACATCTCTGTCATGACCATTGCTGCTCTCAGGACTGGCTAAAGAGTGAGTTATCCAAAGAAGACATTAGAAGGTGTTGGAATTGCCATACAGCAACACCAAACAGAGAAGGCACCAGTTATATGCTAACCCTGCACTATAAGATACAGTCTCTATATGCAGTTTTCCTCTAATTCACACTGCTTTTTTATCAAATAAACTCAGAGTTTTGACCCCTCAACCAGTTATCTGGTACAATAAAAAAGTTGCAATGGAAAATGAATAATATGTTAACAACAGAACATCAAGACTTTAAAGATAGCTCTTGGCAGAAATTTCACTGTCACCCATGAAGAAGCTAAATGGTTTTGTTTATTACATGTTGAAGAGAAAGTAATAAATAGATGGGCAGTCTTCAGCAAGTTTTATCTTTATCTAATCATGGAAGATCTTTCCAACAGGCCTTATCTACTTTTATGACCACGTTCTTTGCAATGACAAACATCTTGCTTCATCACTGACTTATACCTACTCCTTATTTTTCTTAAGACTTTTCTACAGGACTCCTTGCATTTGTCTTAGAAGATGTAAAAGGAATAGAGCCATAGCATACTTCTAAGACTGAGGCCCATACTAAGAAATAATTGAGCATTACTAGAGATGAATTAACTAAGGTTAGTGCAACTTATTAGAATAGATGGTGTGCATTTTCAGATGAACAGAAAGAACAACAGTCTTAGATTATGTCTTTATTCCACAGTTACCAGAGCATATAACAGCCAAAAGTAATGCATGTCCTTTCATGACATGGTCAAGGACCTGTGGAATTCAAGGATGTTATTTCCATTAACATTCTGATCTGCAAGTAGAGTGCACCAGTGTCCTGATTATGAGCTCTGTGTTTGAAGAGAAATAAAAAAAATATTAAATGCAAAGGAGACAATGTAGGTCTTTAACTGGTTGATTGCTTTTTCCTTTCTTGCAATTCTTTGCCTTGAACGCATTTCAAAACTTTTATGGGTGCTAAGCTACCTGATGAGCCCTGAGTAACTATAAGAGACACCTGCAAAACCTGAGCTTTTGCCAGTCAATGACATCTCTCTCCTCATAGGCTCACATACACACATGCTGCTAGCAGAAACAGCAAACAGGAAAGACATCAGAACTTGTTGGGGAGCTTGCTGCATATCTATTGTGATGACTACTTCGATCTCCTGCTGAGCTCACTTTGTGAGCACCAGACAGATGGGGAGCACCACAGAGCAGACTACATGTTTCCTAGGACAGCCACCACCACTCCATGCCTTGCTAGCAGCACTGTTGCCTGTGGGCACTACCACAGCACAGGTAACAATGACTCTGCAGTGCTTATCCCCTGCCTTGCTGCAGGAGAAGGAACATTCATCAGACATCATCCAATGCAGATGGGAAACATCACCTGTTTTACTCTTCTTTGTAAAGCTACAGTCTGGGAAAAGGCAGTAACGTAGGCAGAGAGATTGGGAAAAATGGGTGGAGTATAGGAGGGCAAGAATGCTCTTTCCAAAAGCCAGAGGAACTTAATTTCAAAATGCAGTATCAGCTAACTGCAGAGAACCATAAAACCAGGTAAAATTAGCTCTGTACACACAGTGATGTTCTAGAATTTTTGGTAGGTAGTTTCATATTTGAAT